GTTGTGTCATTTCGATGCCGAGCAAGCCTTTGTCCAAACAGAACTGGATGAGGTTGTGTTCATTCGTCTTTTTTTGGGTGCGGTGCGCTTTCCGGTAAGGTCGTACGGTTGAGACGGAGTCTATACGGTCTGAAGCAGGCGTCCCGCACATGGCATCATCACTTGATGCGTGGCATGAAGAGTCTTGGTTTCGAGCCTTGTGCCGCCGATGCGTGTGTGATGCGTCTGATCGAGAGCGGTGTAGTCACCATGGTGGTTGTGATCCACGTAGACGACATCTTCTCTATCNTCGTCGGTGTCCGACAAGGAATATCCTCATGTGATTGATCACTTATTACTATGCCCAGATAATACCAATTCCGTACGAGACACACAATTTTAATAAGCTACACCATACATATTAGACTAGTCTACCCTTTTTACAAACCCCCGGTGGTTGTGATCCACGTAGACGACATCTGCTCTATCGGGCTCAAGAGCAGGTAGGTGCGATCAGTTTGGTGTTGACCTCAACCGGTATGTGCCCATTTCCAACCTTGGGGAACTGCGCTGGTATGCGGGTTGCCGGTTTTCTCGTGACACGGTGTTGGGGACGGTGACTATTTCGCAACAGGCTGTAGCGGAGAAGATCGTTGCCAAGTTCGGTGTGACGACGGACAAAGAGACACCTATGGTCGTTGGGTTGAAGCTTGAGCAGTACGACGCCGACGAGCCCGATGTCGACGAGCCTTTCCGGTCGCTAGTGGGACACTTGATGTGGCTGGCGAATCAGACTCGCCCGGATATTCTCAACGCGGTGCGTGCCGTTGCGAGGTATTCGCACGCGCCGAAGCGACTGCACTGGGAGGCGGCTTTGCATGTTTTGATGTATGTTAGATTCACGAGCGGGTACGGGATTACTTTTCAGAGGGGCACGGTGGGAGGAGACCACATGGAACTTTTTGTCGATTCGGACTTCGCCAACAAGGCAACCGACCGGCGGTCTGTTTCTGGGGCACTAGTGATGTTCGCTGGTGCGTGTGTGATGTATCTGTGTAGGACACAGAAGAAGAGCGTCACCCTGTCTTCGACGGAAGCGGAGTACGTGGCGATGTCTGATGGGATGAAGGAGGCTATTTTTCTGCGGTTTCTGTGGAAAATTATCTTTTCGGGCCGTGATGTGGGGTGCACGCCGGTGTGGGAGGATAACGTAGGCGCTATTCACTTGGCAAGGAACCCGGCTACTACTCCCCAACTCGAAGCACATCGACATCCGCCACCATTTCATCCGTGAGCGTGTAGCACGGGGGGAGTTCAAGGTAGTCCACGTACGGTCGGACCTGCAACGCGCGGATTTCTTGACCAAACCGCTCCCCAAGGAGACTTTTTGCGCGCATCGTGACTTCGTGATGAATATTCGTTGATTTTGTTCTTGGTGTTGCACTATTTCAGCGATGGGGCCTTTCTTGCACCATGTGTTTTATTTGTGACCTGGTACTGGCCTTTGATCTGCTGCTCGATGTTGATTTCTGCTTTCGCGATGGATGGGATAGTTCTGCGTGAGAATCATGGGGGGGGAAGTATTGTTCCATGATCCTAGTCGCAGGTGGTTTGTCTTGGTTTTGATTTTTTTCGGGATGAATGATGCAGCAGGGGGGCTGTTGGATTGATTGATTGATTTGATTTTGACTTCATGTTCAGGATGGAATGGATGTTACAGCAGGGGGGCTGGTGGAGTGGTTTCTTTGTCAAGGTATTGGATGTCGGNTCCTAGTCGCAGGTGGTTTGTTTTGGTTTTGATTTTTCGGGATGAATGATGCCGCAGGGGGGCTGTTGGATTATTGATTGATTTTGACTTCATGTTCAGGATGGAATGGATGTTACAGCAGGGGGGCTGGTGGAGTGGTTTCTTTGTCAAGGTATTGGATGTCGGAGAGAGGGTTTGGCATGTTCTTGTAGTTTGAACTGGCCATTGAGTTGAAACATGAATATTTATCTGAGGAATGAATTTGTTCTGAGTAGTCAGGACGTAAGACACGTTTTCCCGGAGTTACCCGTCCTCCCCGTTCTGACGTGATTCTGATGGAACGTTGATCTTTTTGCCGGGTATTTTCCAAGGGTGATTGTTCGTGTTTTGANTGACGTGATTCTGATGTGTGTAATGTTGATCTTTTGCTGGGTATTTTTCCAAGGGTGATTGTTCGTGTTTTGACTGCTTGAGAATTGGGTAAATAAAGCACTTTTCTCGAGAGGGTGATTTGTTTTTCTTGACAGACCTTTCAGGGGTAGAAATTTGATATCAAAAAGGTTTGAAAGCTTTGCAGGACGTGTTATGTTGGAAGATCCGGCGATTTCGTGGGACATGTTCTATTGGCAGAGTCGTTTGGATTGGAATGGTGGATGATTTATTGTTANAAAGGTTTGAAAGCTTTGCAGGACGTGTTATGTTGGAAGATCCGGCGATTTCGTGGGACATGTTCTATTGGCAGAGTCGTTTGGATTGGAATGGTGGATGATTTACTGTTAACATAGATAGGGGTTTTGGTTTTTCTGTCTGCCGTTTTGTCTATGAATGATAGTCGTGTCGGGGATTGATTTCGTAGATAGTATCTCGTACCGAGCAGGGGGGCTGTTTGGGGTGCTCGGCAGAGTATACTGTCTACGGGGCCTCCGGGGGGTACGCGGATGGAATCTATTGACGGACATGCTGCATGGTGATGGTGTGGCCTACCCCATGTCTCTCACTCTCTAAGTAACAAGGTCTTGAGTCAACCTTCTTTCTCTTTCGGCCTCTGACGAGCCACCGCACCCAAACACAGGTGACAGTCTTACTTAGTAGACACGTGCAGTTTTCTTCTATTATTACTACGGTATCTGTCTTTAATCCTGAGAATAGCGTAGCTCCCCCTACGANCCCAAATAGTCAACTGTAAAATCGGGCTTACAAATGCCGGCACTCTCGAAGCTTTTGTTTTTTTCGCCGCGAATGTCCAGTTAATCGGTGTGTCGTGTACTCTGTGGGCACCGGCTGGCTGGTACACTGTTTTCGCGGCAAGGCACGGACATTCTCGGGCTTGGACAACCTCGCCTCCAACCAAGCACAGTTTCAAATGTCCCTTCCTTCTTAGCTGGGTTTGGGACGGCGTTTCGGAACCCTGCCTGACCTTGGAGGTTGGCAACGGTGCGCCCGACCGGGTTACGCAGGTTGCACCACGCGTAGGGATTACAGGTCACTTTAACCCCGCCGTAACTGTGACCACTGGCCACCTGTGCGTGCGCAATCCCGACGGCGCACCTACCGGACGCGCGCGCACGCGAGTCCGGCCGGCCACTGCGCCGCCGTGAGAACTCTCTCTCCGAGACGTGTTTGTGTGCGTGCTGGACCGGTAGGAGCAATCAGTAGGCGTGGTCAATACTGATTTTGCTGCCTACGGCGCTCCTTTCGTGATTTGGTGACGGTAACAGAGCAAGCGTGTGTGTGCCAGTCTGGCGATGTTTGAAGTGTCATTCTTTTCGCGTCGCTTGATGTTTTGACGGTTCCAAGAAAAAAAAACGACGTCAGAGTTTGCCCCCCAAAAAGCGGCGTAACATCGTCACGTCAAAACTTCCCGAAATGTCAATATTTCACGTCAGTTCAACAACACGTGGATTCCCTCTTTTGTTGGGATGAATCCCAGATAGAGAATACAACGTTCCCCGGCGGTTATTCTCGGGTCGGTTATCACTATCGGGTACGGGACGGACCCATCTACTCAAGGGTGCTCGAAAAAGTCATCCCGTACATACATGTGGGTACCCCCGGGCAGACCAATGTTTGCGGCTTTTTGCTTCTCATGGGGCTCAGAGCCCCCTTCACGCAAGCTGCATGTGGGGGACACATCGTGTGCTACTATTGACGAATTTGTACGCATACTTTACGTGGGTTAGGTATGCTGTTCATGTGTTACGTACCCGTTTTGTGTCATCATGGGTCCGGGGTTCGCACGAGAGGATAATAGCTCGCGCTGGGGTACCCCCAAGGAAAAACGGGCTTCGCCCCGCGGGCCCCCTTTGTTAGTACAGGAATTAGGATACCGGTACCGCTTCCCCCCCGAAAACCTCCCGAATAAGAAAATGGGTCCATAGGTGTCGGATAATTTTTTTCGGGCGCCCTTGATGTAGTGGGTATTTGGGGAACCGGATACATACGAACCGGATACTACCTAGGGGATTGAGTTTCTGTGACCACTTAAAGCCGATGACGACATATCTCCGAGGCAAGATCTCCTGAAGCAAGATCTCCCTGCTGAGACACTTCATTGAGGCACCCTTGATCTACGCAAGCAAATTTTGGCCTCTCCAAAGCCGAGTCGTGCACCGCCACAGACTCGCGAGGCGGGCCCCGTACAGTACAGTTCAGAGGGGTGTCATTCTTGTACGAAACACGAGATACATGCGCTAAATTTGTCAGCGGCCTGTTCTCCGGGCTGTTAAAGGTTGAAGAACTTTCGTCGAACGTCGGGTTGCTCTTATCACAGGGTCTCTCGCCAGTGCCGTCTTGTTGCAACGTGTATTAGGCCACTTGTTACGCTGTCTCTTTTTGGGCTGTCCCTTTTCTCAAAAAGGGACAACTGACCAAAAACCACTTGTTACAGTGGGTTGATTACGACGGAGAGACTTGTTGGACCCGGGAAAACATACAAGCTCAAAAGATCGCAGCGCTGTTTTTGGTCAGTTGTCCCTTTTTGAGAAAAGGGACAGCCCAAAAAGAGACAGCGTAACAAGTGGCCTTAATGTCATGTTTGTCCACTCGTCATGATGATCAAATTTGGAACGACAGCAACATGTTGCGTGGACACCTCTCCACCAGCTGCCCTCCACCGTGCTGAGAAGTTGCGGCAGTCAACCATATCATGTGTCGGTACAGCCTTCATCAAGGCAACCAAACAGCAGTCGGTTACAAATAGAACGGTGCGCCCACCGAGCGTCGCGCCAAGGGCTGCAATGGACCATCTCTTCTTGAGCGAAAAACGCGCGTCGGAGACAGATGGGTCTCATTTCGCAGAACGAATAGGGTTTTTCGTTTTCTCATCCACCCGCCATGAAAATAGAGCGGTTCATCTCGAATAACTGCTGTGACCAGCGTCCATCGTATACTCCTATGCTGGTCGAGATGCATAGCACCTGGTAACTGTATTTACAGCCAGTGCTCCAAAAGTGAGTGAACGGTGAAGGATTTGTATCCTCCAGCAGGCGGTCCACCGTACCTCGGCTTCGAGGAGTGTCGAGTTCGACGTGCCTCACCAGGACCATCCGCGCCAGGAGGCCCTTCAGAACATTCCCTAACCCACCTCGACCAACACGCTTACTATCATCAATGCTTATCGCGCTCGCGCATTTTCTTCTATCGACACGCACTCTAACCCCCAGATACTTGAATGCTCGTTGAACACCTTAAACACCATACGGCTTGTTTACAAGTGCCGCTCCTCCCGACGTTCGCCCCTTCGTTCTAAAGGACCCGTCAGCAGTTATCCACGTTGGTGTACACGAAGAAGGATATCCCCAGCTCAACGAAGTTGTTGCCCACGTCCTTGAGGTTGACCTTCTTGTCCCGGTACCACTGGCTTACCGCGCCGGGGTCCCCATCCAGCTCTTGCATCCACCCCCACTGCGGGTGGGTAACGACAGAGCCACAGGAACAAGCGTATTGATGATAGGCGGGATAGTTGACAGTCGGAGCTGGGGCTTGAGCACAAACAGAGACGGCTTTGGCGGTCCGACACGTTGGGCAGAACAAAAAAACTTGAAGAGCAATGAAGCGTGTCAGTGGAGCCTTGGAATATGTTGAGCATCTCAAGTATCGGCTTCCAGTTGTCTACTGCCTCCGCGGGGCCTTGGATGATATTGAATACCCGCCTACTACTCAGGGCTGATCTCCGACCAAAACACAAGCAAGTTTTGCAAAGCACAGCACGCATCATTGGCAGCCGAGGTACAACAAGAGTTTCCTCTAACATGGCGAGGCAATCCTCCCCCCCCCCCCCCGCTGGTTCCGTTCTGGTCGGCAACGCACGTTTCCGTCAAATATTTGGGCGAAGTCGTCCTTGTTGATCATGGACAACGCCACCAAAGGGTTTCCAAGGCGCACGGCACGGTGGGCGGCGTCGGAGCACGCCTTCGCGGCGTCAAGTCCCTGCAAACAAATGCGAAAGACAGAAAAATACTATTACAGAGCAAAACAGTTGCGGCTGGCCTGCCATCAAACAAGCAAGCAATGCAAAAAACACGCCAACCAAACGTGCAGCTGGTATCTACCGTACAATTCAAAGAGCAAGCAAGCACAGAGGGCGTCACGCGACCAATAAGACGCCTCTCTCAGACCCGCTCCCACTGTCACACCGTCACACCATCAAAGCAGAGCGACAAGAACACGCTCGACAACAGCTGAAGCAGTTTACAGCGCAGCTAGGATGCTGTTCGAGGAGGAATACGGGCGTGTCGACGTGACAGAAACGGCGGCCGGTCGTTGCTAAAAACGAGCGTTCGCTGCTTATCGTTCAGAGTTCCACAGCACTTCAACAATAGCACAGCCCATTGATTGCCGGAAGGCAAAACAAAGAAAAAAGCAAGGACAACTGAAGAACTTCATCATCTCACCATCTACTTCCCATGGCAGTCTACCACATTTCACATGGGACGCCACGCCAACCCAAGAATGAAGCACGCCTCACAGATGAATCCGAAGGTACCATTGCAAGCAATTTGTCATGTTTTCCAAGTACCCATAATGTGCCCCTTTGAGTGACCGATGACACATATACCTTCTACATATACACGCAAGCAGGGGCCGCCAGGAGGGCTGAAAAGGCCAAGCATGTACCTCCGTTGTGATAAGCTTGTCCAGTAGACCAGCGTCAATGACGCAGTCAGCAGAAGATTGTGTGAGCTCCGGCATGCCTCCGGCCACGTCCAACGCCTCGAAAATCAATTTCCTTGGCAGGGAGGCAGAAGAACAGCCCCCAAATCCACAACAACAACAACAACAAAACGGCATGAGAAACGAGGGAAGTGCACGTCAATGCTTTGTGCCATGGCCACAAGGTGGAAACAAGCAGCAGCGAGCAGCCCGAATGCGCAGAACAGAAAGCATGTCTACAAAACAGTCACACCGTCCAATGGGCAGCAGAACTCTGCTATGGTCGCACGAACAGCAACCCACAGCGTGCAAAACACAGCAGGACGAGCTGCTATGTGCCCTGCCCACAGACCGTCGGAGGCGGGCACGAGGGACGAGGGAAGATGCCGAGGACAGCAGTAATGTGTGGCCTGCTCTCTCTTTTGACGTTTTTTCGTGCCCGCTTACCCGGCAGCCATGTTCTTCGAGCAGACGGGATCTGCCTCGGCCGCATTCTTCATGGCCGCTATCAAGTCGGGGTCGGAGTCGATGCAGCGCATGAACGATCGGCCATCTCTGCGACGAGGCAACCGAAACGAAGCGGACGGACACAAGACGAAGGGGCATGCAAGCATGATACAAGCGAACGACAGACACATGTGAAAGAGCTCAGCCCTCGCTAGCCACAACTGATCGAATTTTTCCTGGACACGTACAGCAAGTGGTGCGGACTATTGTGCCTTGGCTTCGCCAGGCCAAACGAGCTTCAACGTAACCGTCTTCCAGTGATCCGATAAAGTGCAAGTCTTCAAAAACCATGTGCGACATGATTATTTCCCACGTGTTTTGCATCCCCATCAAATGTCCCCTCGTGTCCCCACACTTTTCAAGACCTTTGGAGGACTCCTTTCTCTCCCGAGTCTGAAATCCTTTCGATTGTTGTCCCCTAAATCATCGACGGGACAGCGGTAGTTGATAGAGACTCTAGGCCAAAGTCAAGTCCACTCGTTTTCTTGTAATGTACGGGGGGACTGTGGACATAATCCAAAACACACCTTGCGCTCTATACCTGGTGGCACCCCCAGCGGCCGGTCCGTAGTGTGTGGCAGACAAGTGCACAGAGAGCGCACGAGCGCATCTGCTACATGGGCCGGGTAGGCAGAGTGTCTCACCGAGTGCCGTAGCCATCCCGAGAGAGCTGCAAAGGAAGTTCTGTCCCACACCCCAGCAGCAGCATCTGGTCGGAAGGCTGCACGTGCTCCTTGAGAAACGGCAGCACATCTTCGTACGGGAAGGAACCGATCTGTTTCCCACCGTGGCCGATCATCAACGGCATCAAACTAAGCAGCACGAAAAAACGGCATGCGCAAAGGCACCAGCAGATTGTCCTACGTCCTACGTAGATCGTCTCAAGACTCCTGGAGTGCCGTAGGTTACATGGGATATTGCACCCCTCGACCGATTGTTCCAAAGCTCAATTACTTCACAAGGGAGAGTGGCGGCTCCGACAGGCGCTGGCACCGTCTCGTCGAGGGCTTTCCGACGATGTGCCGGTAATTTAAATATCCGCTTCGTCGTGGAGTAACCGACCTTGGGGTGCCGTGTCTACTACTTTAGTGCCCCTATGGTAAGGTGCAAGTTGCGTGCAATGGTAGATACCACTTTTTTTAGCACGTATTTTCGAGGACGGGGGGGTACTCAATTTTTGCGCGCCTTATTGCGGTTGGCCATTGAGCACGATTGATTGGTCCCACAGGACCGATCACCGATGGTCAATCATTCGTTCCCACTTTACCTATGGTGCCTCAGGAGTGTTTTCCCTAGCCTATCTATCATTTCGATATAACCTCCCGCCTATTCAACCCACTTACTATGCCCCAGTAGTTCCATGCCGCAAAACAGCTCCCTGTCTATCTTCCTTCTTTTTCTCAGCCCAGTTATGCATATTTCTCTCTCCTTTCGTACGACGGACATTCTCCACCTACATGACCCCGGTGTTCGCACTCCGAGCCGCATTCACATTTGAATTCGTCGTCATCATCATCTACCTTCCTCAATCTTCGCCTACGTTCTCGAAGGCCAATGTCCCCAGTCTTTAATCTGACATTCAATCTTCTTGTCACCCTCTAGACCTACAACCGTTTCCACTCACTTCCTTGGTCAACTCGAACTCCTTCCATACGTCATCTACAACTTTAACCCACTCCGTGGGTTAGCTACCCCTTCTTCTTGTTTGCACACTTCACCTCCCAAGCTATTCACGGAAACTTCTCCTTCTCCATGTTGTACGCCCGTAGATACACAGCCAAATTTTGAACCCCTTGTAGCTTCCTTGCGTCTCTGATTTTTTCTGGAGGGGTGGTAAATAGCGTATACTGCCACGTGCCAGGTAACGTAGCACTACTGACATACGGTACACCGGTGCACAAAGGAGCTTTGCGTTTGAACGGCCATGTTGATTCAACGCAAACTTTCCTGCATAGAGCAGCGGTCAATGTTCCACCGTCGACCATAGAACGGAAAACAAACGTGTGTGCACACAGCAGTTTGAGTACAGGTATAGTCTACATGCAGCAGGAGGACAGGCATTCATCATGAAAGCCCGCACACGAGAGGACGCATAGAATTTTGGTAATTGTTCTTGAACCACTCGACGTCTCTGCAGCCGACTGATGATGTAGCAGTCCCAAGCTCACCTCTGCGGTAGCAGCCATCCTAGTCACGGAGGACGACGATCTTCTTCCAGCCTCGTGCTGCTGCTGCTGCTGCTGCTGCTGCTGCTGCTGCTGCTGCTGCTGCTGCTGCTGCTCTACTCTCAAACATGATCTTGCACAGCTGCTGCCGCCGAACCGCTGCTGTGGCACAAGGAAGCTATCCACACCAACACCGCCCAGGCTCAAGGCAGCCATCGCCACCACGCATTGTCTCGTTCCATTGAGACCCATGGTTAGTAGACAACTGTCGCCCTCCCCCTCTGTGAGAGCGAACAAATTAAGCCCACCCCATGCCGCCAAAGCGACGCTGGCTCGCGCACGTATGTGCGCGCGGAGGGAACGGGGGGGGCGATCTGGACACCATACCCAGTAGTGTACCCCCCCCCTCGACATTTCGCGTGTGCTCCGGCTGCCGGCGCATCCAACCTGGAGTGCCACCCTGCGGCGTAGGAGACGTCTCGATCAGCACGCAAATAATATTCCTAAGGAACCCTCTGCGTCGACGCAAAGCAGACGGCCACCCATCCTCTCCCGGCACCTCATCCAGTCGATTTGAGAACGCTGTTACTACCATGCACGGAGCTCTAGCAACCCTCGGTTTGGCTGTTGCCATGATGGCATCAGTCTCGAACGCGTTCGTAGTCCCTGGACCCTCCCAGGTCGTCTCTGGACGATCTACACGGGCCTCCACATCCCAGGTATGGCATGTCGTGGCTTGGTGGGCCTTCGTAGGAAACACGACACAGATCGGCAGTTGCAATGTCCCGTCGTGCGTGCGCTGTAGCTATGCATAGGCGGTATGTTGCTTGCAACGACCCAGTCAGAGGCGTTGATATGGGTTGACTCCATAAGACGGCAGCGCGAACTACGATCACAAGCAGGCTGAGACCAAATCTAGATGCCTTGTGGTGGGTTATGCTCGCGTAGACGGGTACTGCGCGTGAGCGTGTGATAGGGGGTGTCCATGTTGAAATTACGTGCATGACACATTGCAGTTGGGCAGGCGAGAACCAAGCAACATCATGCTGCTCATAAAAAAATAAATAAACGGTTTTGGCTCAAAGGTCGGACGCTCGAGCTCTGACAGTACTCTGTCGCGTGCTACAATAGGTCTGGACCACCCCAACACTGCCGACACCACTAAACAGCAATACCATCATCTAGCAATCTAGCAAAGGCCCTGGATGACGTTGACCGGTAGTCTAGAAGGTGATGCCCATTGTGCCTATACGAAGACGAGAGAAACGAAGTGGGTGACGGGCAAACTGCCGGTGGAGGTCTATTGTTTGTCTGGCTTCCCTTCTGATGTAGTATGAAGTCCAAAGCGAAAACACACACTGCTGTTTTGGTCTGAGTGCCGCATAGGCTTGGGCGTTCTCACCTCCTTCATCTGCTTTCTTTGCTACCCGTTTTCTCTCATCACGCGATGGTGCAGGTGATTGTGATGGGCAGGGGCGACACGCGCACAACGAAGGGCAAGCGCATGAGGTAGGTCTACGTGTGCCCACTGGGCTTGATTTGCTTCACGAACTCGCACAAGCGGTTTCAGATGGAAGTCTTCCGCCGCATTATCCTTGGCCGCACACTCAATCCACGTGTGTGCAAAACGGCTTCCAAGCGTTTCATCTGCAAGAAGAGCCTTCACCACAGAACTTGCTTGTGTCTTTCCCGTACTGATGTACTCGAGGCGTAGTCCTGGCCGCCCCGGCGACTCACGGAGTATTCGAAATCCTACAGCCGCTTGATCGGGTTTTGCCACGTTTCCTGGTTTTCATGCGCTACATATGCTGCTGCAGAGAGCTCTTGGTCATGAACACTCTCGGAAGGGCTGCGCACCCTTCTCGACGAAACACGGAGGGTGTACATTGTAGATACAGCAGTCAAGGCAACCTCGTGCTGTGAACCTCCTCGAATAGAAGTTGAGTTTGCTAAGGAGGCTAGACCACACGGTGTTGTAGATAAAAGACAGCAAGAGCATGCAGTGTGGCACCCATTTTGCCGTGCCCGTGTTGTGGTAGCGCAAGACCGCAGGCGGCCCGGTTGAGCTCTGGGGCGAAGGTGGCCTCCTATCGGCGAGGGACACATCATAGTTGTGACAAAGTTTTGCGACATATCGTGCCACCATGACTTGGTTGCAGTTTTATGGTGAAGCTCCCTACGAAATGCATGCTGCTGGATCGATCGCCGCACGTGTCTATTTAGATAGTACCAGATGGTACTATTTTCAGAGTCGGACCAGTTCTCCCTTGTCTTTTTCCTCACCGCCGTTCTCCGCGGTTTTCGTTCCGTGGCACCCCTCGACCCGACCAACCAGGCACTCGTACGGGAAGTGCCGTCCCCAGAAGCAGAAGGAGGTGGTCTACTTCGAGGGCGAGATCGTCAAGAAGGCGGCCCCCGTTGCGAGGAGGTGGGAGAACATTGAGTACGACGAGGCCTCCATGCCCAAGCCGGCCCCCGTCGAAGCAGCCGCCGAAGAGGTGACGGAGGCGGAGGAAGCTGATTCGGCTGTGGAAGAAGAGGCTTCGGCGCCCGACGGAAACGCGGAGGAGGCGGTCGCTGAGGAGGAGGCCGCACCGGCTGCCGAGTAGGCTGTCGTGGGCCAGGCATGATTGCTACTGATAGTTTGATTGTAGGGTTTCGAAGAGATGGCGGAGGAGGATGGGTCATGTTGTGCCGCCTTGGATACATAGCAACAGCCCTTGATGCGTTGGGTCGGCGTGTGGAAGGTGTCTTGCGTGGTGGAAACAGTACCCGGGTTGTGATGGAGAAGTACCTATGGACGGCGATAGATGAGAAGGAAGGGGCGAACATCCACCTGCGCATGGAGGAAGGAATTACTGCCCGTGCGATATTTTCATTTCCGCTGGGACAGAATTGAACAACTGTGGCCATCCCTGCGTATGGTCTTTGTTGGTGTGAAGAAACGTAGAAAACCGGATCCTCTATTTGGTGGCGTCTGTCAGCAGGATCTTGCATGTCGAAGGCCGGTATGTGGCGTGCCACCTGCAGGGTTCGTGTAGATGCGAGCCTCATAAGAACTGTCTCGAACGGTTGATTAATGCGTTTTTCTCTCTAGGCTCACGGAGAAAGCGCAGTGAGTGTTGCGTCGGTTGTAGGCCATCGCGACACAACTTTGGAGAGAAATGTTTTCCGAAGCCGGGTGGATGTTGCTGTTTTTCTCGTGGTTCATTCTGGAAGAAAACAACACCTTCCCCATCACGCTTGACGCGCTTGAGGACATGGTATGGTATGGAATATGGTCCGTTGCAGCATGCCCCGGTAGTTGTCCGGCTTTGTAGTATCTGCGACGAACCTGGAATGAATCTGTGTTGTGACCCTTAACCCACCACACCCGGTTGTTATGTTGCCGTTGGCACTTCGGGCGTTGGCTGGGGTTTTGCTTGCAGGCATCGCAAATGGGATGCTTGCACACGTGTCGAGTGCTTGACGTGTTGAAATCTTATTCTTCCTTCCAATAGTTGTGCGTACTGGTACAGCAGTACAGGCGTGCTTGTCTTGAGCCGCCTCGTCACCGTACAGCACGCTGGCCGCTTCGTAGCATGCATCCCAGTGTTGGGAGGGCATGGGCCATCCATCAAAATGTGATGACCCCATCGATACGTAGCCCAAACAAATCGCGTGCCACCTTGTACTGCAGTGCACGTTTGATATTTCTGGGGGGTGCCGTGGCTCGCTGCCGCTACAACATGGAGCACAAAGTGGTTCAGATTACGTACGTACCACAAGACTCCACACACCCATCACAACAATCAACCCCTGAGATTGGATGAGGTTATCAACCCTCAACGACGGAAGCACGAGGTATCAATGACAGGCAAGACATCGTCCAACAAGCTGCACTGTTACAGCTCTGAGGACTTCCCGGAGCCTCTTCTTGCTGACGGGAATCTCTGCCACCAGCAAAGCTATTATATATACTGCGTATTATACTACCCCGCACTACCCCATTGCGGAGTCCATTCAGCACATGATCACCTCAACTGCCCAAGTCACATGGAGATGCGGCCTAAAAAAATAACGCATGTGGAAAAAATGGATTCGATCGTGTCATGTCCGTCCGTGCCAAAGCGATCAAATGGAGGCCCGTCCGCGCCAAGGAACTCAAAAGAGCTTACAAAAACACCCTGTTGTACCGAGGTTTTGGTGTGTCTGGACCAAAGCCCATCGCGGGCTACTGCTGTACATCTGACTTGGAGCGACGGGGGGCTCGTGACAGCACAAACCATCCAAGGGGACACCCATCGCCGCCACAAGCCATTCAAAACAAAGTCCTCTTTGAAGGCACGCCGATGTCTAACGGTCTAGAGCGGCCGCTGATAGCCGCCTCCGCCAACGGGGGCGACGGGCATGGCGACACGTTCTCGTGGAAAAACGCATCGTCGGGAGTTCCGGCCGCGCCCCCGGCGCCCGTCCCCCACACGAGACCATCGTCGGCAAACGACGAGGACATGGCCTGACCCAGGCTCCTGCCCATGAGGCTCCCCACGGCGACGGAGCTCGCAGGGGTGACGGACATGCTCTCCGTGATGTACGTGTCGGCCATTTTTCTCGACATGCGGCCTGCCTCATCATCCCCCTCTTCCTCCGACGAAGAAGAAGCACCTTCGGAACTCTCACCCGCGTCGTTACGCTTCTTGGCAAGCCTGCCCTTGGCCTTGCTGTTCTTTGTGGTGGCTTCTTTTCGTTCGCCAAGAGACCGGGCACGGAGGCCGCTGGCCCCGTACCGGAAACTCATGGAGCTCGCGTCCATGTCGTTGATATTTCGATCGTCGTCGTCGTCTTCTTCGGACGAAACAGATTCGTCATCGCTGCTGTCGCTGGTGACAGAGGAGTCCGAGTCCCCGGCGCCGGCGGGCGTCCTGGCGCCCGAGAATTTGGTGCTTCTTTGATGTCGGCTGCCATCGTCTTGAGCCTGTCGCCATTAACATCATGTTTGGGGCGTTGGGTGTCTGTTCATTGTAAGTTGGAAACGGGCTTTATGCGCTTGGGTGTTGAACGTGCCGGTTGTGTTGGGTTGTGGCGCAAGCGCGGTCGACAGAAGCGTTTCTGAGTTGAATATTCTCTGTGGTAACGTTGTTGTTGTTGTTGTTGTTGTTGTTTCTCACATTAGCTCTTAAGTCCACAAAAATGGGGAGCCCGTGGTCTCAAAACCCGGCACATACGACGCCGCGAGAAAAAAAAAAAAGGGTACAAACCACTCGGAAAAAGAAAACAAAATGATAGAAAGAAAAGAACAGGTATCGCACCGACCGTTCCAGAAAAGAGCCCTCGGACACCGATCAAAATAAAACAAAACAAAAATAACAGAAAAATAAAGGAGGACGCTTCCCACACCCGCCGAAAAAA